GAATGCGGAGGCGTTGTCCTTTTCAGACGCTTGTCTTCTGTTTGCGTTTCAGAATATGGCTGTGGGTCAAATTTGTACCTAAAATTGAACCCTGGCAAGTGGTAACATAGACTAAACTTGCGGTCCCCTGGTGGTTTAATTTTGAGTCATACCCATTTGATTTGTGTTCCCTGTTGGTTTTAGAGAATCTTTCTCTGCTGGACTTTTTTTTTGGGGGGGGCTGAAGTCAATGGAGGTGGTTGACCCCGGATGAACCAGAACCTCTGGTTGATTTGACCGGACATTGTTCCCTTTCAGTAGGAACGCAAACCCCCCCCCCTGGAGCCGCCCCCAAAGCCCCCGCACCCTCTGCGTACTTTTTTGGGTGGGTCGACCCCCTGGACTGCTGTGTCGCTTCGGGCTCGCTCCGCACTTTTTGGGTATGTCCATTCCCTGCCACCCGCTCACGCATTTTTCATGCGTGCTTGTTCTTTTTGTCTCTTGTCCGAGAGCTAGCTTTCAATTAGTGACCATACCACGGCAGTTCCTTCTAAATTTCTACTTGTCCTTTCATGAGCAAGCACGCCAACTAAGACCAAACCAAAACACAAGCAAGCCCTAAAACCACTCCACAGGGCGGGCAGGCCGTTCCCCAAAACGCATCCCAAAACAATCTTCCAGATTTCCCAAGACAACCCTAAGCCGACCGTAAACCGACACCAAACAATCCTGAAACCAAACCTAAAGCCACCCCGCAGTCCAACCCTAAATGAACTCCAACCAGGCCCACCCACCATGCCACAGGGGGGAGGGGGGAATTGGGGGTGGGAGGGGGGGTCGGGGGGCTGGACCATATATATATATATATACAAACATGAATGTATATTGTGCCCTCCCTCCAAATGTCGACCTTTTGTTTTGTCTTCATTGTTATGCCCACTACATCTAACTCTGCAAAAGAAAAAAAGCTCTCCAACTCCACCATTGAAACCGTTTGAGTTTGAACTCTTTCTCACAGGAAAACTCTGGGCCCAAAACCGTTTAAACCGTTTGAACCCTTTGAACCCTCTCTCAGGTGGAACCGGAAGGGGGGGGGCTTTCCTTTGAGAAAGGGTTTAAACGGTTTAAAGGGTTCAAGCGGTTTGGGGCCCTGACCCTCTTTTTGCGCATTCTGACCAAACCTCAGCTTAGAAATGGGACAAAGAGTAGATCCAACCAACCGAAATTTCGTTCGGGCCGGGACTCAAGATTCCCTCAAGATGTTTGGAGCCTGAAGCTTCCATATCGTCTTTGGACATGGGCTTTTTTTTTGCGGCTTTCCCCAAGGCCCAAAAAGGCGAAACACGCCGTGAATACCTTTGAATTCCGAAGAAGCCTGTTCAAAGACTGCTTTTGGGCGTTGGAATTTGTATTCAACTTAGATTTTACAGGTGGTCTCCTTTTCTTCTGTGTAATCAAAAAGAAAATCATCCTATTGATGTTAAGGTAATCTAAATGGGTGTTCCTTTTCAAAGAAGATTTGTACTTAAACGTCTTTTTTGACATTAGACTTTGAAACCAAACCTGTTCCTTGTTTGCTTGTTGATCAGATTTTAAATGGAATGTAATAGGGAAAGCAATTGTAGTAGATTATCTAGTTTCAACAATAATTTAGATAGGCGTGGTTTAAAAGGTTTGATTTGGCATGATTATTTTAAATTTCGATTATAAAGGGGGGCTCGTTTCTAGGATGTGTTTTTCAATGTTCTACCATAATTTAAGTGGAATCTAATAAGGACATACTCCTGGTAGGATTTCTAGTTTAAAGGGAATCTAAACAGGTTTGCATGTTCAAATAAGAGTTGTAATTGAGTGTTTTACTTGACATTAGATGTTGAAACGGTGTCTACTTGTTTTTTTTTTTTAATTGTGTGATTAGAACTTAAGTAGAATAAGGACATAGGTCTAGTAGAGTTTATATTTTTCTAAACATTTAAATAGGTGTTTTGAAATAGTTCTTGTATATAGTTGGAATCCTTATTTCAATTTAGATTTTAAAGGACTGAGAGCTTCAATGAACCAATTGGAATCCAAATCGAAATTAACACTGACACATCCTAATTTAATTTCTAGTTTTATAGGTGATGTAAATACACCGCATATACCATTGAAACCGACATTTGGAGGGGGTAGCACATATATATATATATATATATATATGTATATATCCGTATACACATATATATATATATAGTTTTGAGGGGTCTTTGGAAAGGCATGTATGGTTTGAAGGGTCTCTAAGTTCTGACTTCACGTATTGGTTTGTGACTGGCAAATATTATAGTGCTCAGTGCCGACGAAAAGCTCGGACGGACGAAACATGGGGTAGGCCAAAGGATACGTCTATTCATTCATGGGATCTCTATCCCCCCACCAAGGCAGCCCTCAATTGTGGGCCTAATTTTGGGGAGTTGGCACATCTTTTGTAAGGGGGGACAGTAATCAGGTTGCAAGTGGCAGGGAAGGTACACAAATCGTGCAGCACAAGGGTCACCGTCGGTATCTTGGGAGCCCAAGATCAACGAAACTCCTGTTTGCTTCACAGAGCGTCCAATGTAAGAGGGGCTCCGTGAAAGCTCCGGTTGACATGTTCTGGGGTCCTCCTCGACTTTGCCTTCAGCGATTCCTTATTTGAACATTAATGGAACGGTCCCCAAAAGCGTTTTGAATGAACGGCTGTAGTATACCTGTAAAGAAGTCTTGGAGTGGCTGCACACCCTGGAATGCTTGTGGAACCCCAAAGAATCTGGTGGAGTTCCCCCTCCCCTCATGACATTTTCCGCGTGCAGCGAAAGGCGTCGGCTGCGAGCTGCGGCGATGCCTCGAGCTCAGCTGTTGGCGTTGATGCGCCGACGCCCAAAGCTCACGTGGCTGTGGTTGTCGAAACCGTTTTGGGATCTCATTTTGGTTGGTAGGTGAATTCACCGCCCATTTTAGAACCCTATTTTAGTGGTTGGATTGGGATATTTTGGGGTTTTCGGTGCACCACCCATTTTAGAACCCATTTTAGTGCGGATTGGGATGTTCGCTGGAGGTACGATTTGGGTTTTGACCCATGGCCACGTTAAACCCCAAAGCCTAGCCGTGCCCAGCGGTGCCTTTGTTCCGATAGCGAAAGAATTCTGTTGTTCCCAACAACTTGTTGTCATCTTCCGGGGACACTCAGCTCCCCAGTGGGTTGCTTCCTTTTTTCCTTTCTTTGGCCTGCCGAAGGGTGGACATATCGGTTTTGGGAGCCCCTATCGTTGTTTGGGTTCACGCTGATGGAAATGGAGTTTACCAGTGGGCTCCTACTGGTTTTTGATGGTCAGTTTGCCGAGCATTCCTGTGCCTTTAAGTCAAAAAGCTCTTATTTTCGCGTTGCTGTATGATTGTCTTTTACGCGGGCACCCCCGCAAAAAATGGTGGTTTCCTTTGGTGTCCCTTCAAAAAACCACAAAAAGGTACCCTACCAAAAAGACGGATGCATATGTCTTGCACGTACGGGACTGCATCAGCTGCCAGTTTTCTGGCCCCAGGCGCGTCTTTTTGAGCAAACGGCCTTCTTCCATTTGCAAAACCCATGGGAGAAAGCCGCTTTTTGACAAGAGCCACGGTTGACTTCCATGAAAGGAAATCGATTTGGGTGGCTCAAAATTAAACAGGAGGGGTTACGCAGGTGTTGGTCCATGTTTCCACTTACCAGGGTTCCATGTTGGTACCGGTTTTTTGAGCCACTGCCGTTTCACTACTGTACATATGTTCTCATTGTTTCCAGGCCGAAAAAGCAAATGGACGCCCGGGGAAGGCATCAGGTCTTCGTTGGGCCAGGAGGCTTTTGCTGTGCCAGGAGCAAGCACAGCATCGCAGGCTCATCGGCTCGCCCTTGTACCAACTTGTTTTGGGGGAGATTCGATTCCCCTACTAAAATAGACTGCAGAAAAAACAGGGTACCCTTATTCTAGCCTCTCCACTGGAGGACCTAGTGGCGCTTCTTCTGCGCCCCTTCGTTCCGCAGAGAGGCGGCGACGACGTCCTTTGCACAGCAACTTGTTTGTCTTGCGGGTTAGCGACGATGTCCTGAACGCGTACACCCACCCAAAACCGAACCTAAGCCCATCCCAAGCCCGCCCTAACCGAACCTAACCCACGCCCAAAGCCACCACAAACCCACTAACACAACGCTAAGCTGAACTCACGCGCCAGCCCTATGCCCACCTCAACTCACCTCAAACCCACAACCCCATGTTAAAATGGACCGGGCCAATTCTCATACATGTCGGACAAACTATATATATATATATATAATCTTGGTGGCTCCCAGCCATCCCCTGAGCTTTTTTTTTTTTTTTTTTTTTTTTTTTTTTTTTTTTTTTTTCGCTTTGTACTGCTTAGCAGGGGGTTCCATGTGACCCACTAAAAGGTTAAACTTTGAGTGGGGATCTGAAACCGGGCAGCCCATATATATACTTTAGAGCCTCCGGCTCAGTCCGCCGACATTGTCCTCTCCCTTTTCTCCTTCTTCCTCTCTTCCTTGTCTCCCTTGTGTGTTCTGTCGTCCTCTCTCCCTCCCTCTGCTCCCATCCTCCCCATCCCCCCAAGCCTCTCTCTCCCCACTCTCCCTCTCTCGTATGTATGTATGTATGTATGTATGTATGTATGTATGTATGTATGTATGTATGTATGTATGTATGTATGTATGTATGTATGTATGTATGTATGTATGTATGTATGTATGTATGTATGTATGTATGTATGTATGTATGTATGTATGTATGTATGTATGTAATGTATGTATGTATGTATGTATGTATGTATGTATGTATGTATGTATGTATGTATGTATGTATGTATGTATGTATGTATGTATGTATGTATGTATGTATGTATGTATGTATGTATGTATGTATGTATGTATGTATGTATGTATGTATGTATGTATGTATGTATGTATGTATGTATGTATGTATGTATGTATGTATGTATGTATGTATGTATGTATGTATGTATGTATGTATGTATGTATGTATGTATGTATGTATGTATGTATGTATGTATGTATGTATGTATGTATGTATGTATGTATGTATGTATGTATGTATGTATGTATGTATGTATGTATGTATGTATGTATGTATGTATGTATGTATGTATGTATGTATGTATGTATGTATGTATGTATGTATGTATGTATGTATGTATGTATGTATGTATGTATGTATGTATGTATGTATGTATGTATGTATGTATGTATGTATGTATGTATGTATGTATGTATGTATGTATGTATGTATGTATGTATGTATGTATGTATGTATGTATGTATGTAATGTATGTATGTATGTATGTATGTATGTATGTATGTATGTATGTATGTATGTATGTATGTATGTATGTATGTATGTATGTATGTATGTATGTATGTATGTATGTATGTATGTATGTATGTATGTATGTATGTATGTATGTATGTATGTATGTATGTATGTATGTATGTATGTATGTATGTATGTATGTATGTATGTATGTATGTATGTATGTATGTATGTATGTATGTATGTATGTATGTATGTATGTATGTATGTATGTATGTATGTATGTATGTATGTATGTATGTATGTATGTATGTATGTATGTATGTATGTATGTATGTATGTATGTATGTATGTATGTATGTATGTATGTATGTATGTATGTATGTATGTATGTATGTATGTATGTATGTATGTATGTATGTATGTATGTATGTATGTATGTATGTATGTATGTATGTATGTATGTATGTATGTATGTATGTATGTATGTATGTATGTATGTATGTATGTATGTATGTATGTATGTATGTATGTATGTATGTATGTATGTATGTATGTAATGTATGTATGTATGTATGTATGTATGTATGTATGTATGTATGTATGTATGTATGTATGTATGTATGTATGTATGTATGTATGTATGTATGTATGTATGTATGTATGTATGTATGTATGTATGTATGTATGTATGTATGTATGTATGTATGTATGTATGTATGTATGTATGTATGTATGTATGTATGTATGTATGTATGTATGTATGTATGTATGTATGTATGTATGTATGTATGTATGTATGTATGTATGTATGTATGTATGTATGTATGTATGTATGTATGTATGTATGTATGTATGTATGTATGTATGTATGTATGTATGTATGTATGTATGTATGTATGTATGTATGTATGTATGTATGTATGTATGTATGTATGTATGTATGTATGTATGTATGTATGTATGTATGTATGTATGTATGTATGTATGTATGTATGTATGTATGTATGTATGTATGTATGTATGTATGTATGTATGTATGTATGTATGTATGTATGTATGTATGTATGTATGTATGTATGTATGTATGTATGTATGTATGTATGTATGTATGTATGTATGTATGTATGTATGTATGTATGTATGTATGTATGTATGTATGTATGTATGTATGTATGTATGTATGTATGTATGTATGTATGTATGTATGTATGTATGTAATGTATGTATGTATGTATGTATGTATGTATGTATGTATGTATGTATGTATGTATGTATGTATGTATGTATGTATGTATGTATGTATGTATGTATGTATGTATGTATGTATGTATGTATGTATGTATGTAATGTAATGTAATGTAATGTATGTAATGTAATGTAATGTAATGTATGTATGTATGTATGTATGCATATGTATGTATGTATGTATGTATGTATGTATGTATGTAATGTATGTATGAAATGTATGTATGTATGCATGCATGCATATGTATGTATGTATGTGTATGTATGTATGTATGTATGTATGTATGTATGTATGTATGTATGTATGTATGTATGTATGTATGTAATGTATGTATGTATGTATGTATGTATGTATGTATGTATGTATGTATGTATGTATGTATGTATGTATGTATGTATGTATGTATGTATGTATGTATGTATGTATGTATGTATGTATGTATGTATGTATGTATGTATGTATGTATGTAATGTATGTATGTATGTATGTATGTATGTATGTATGTATGTATGTATGTATGTATGTATGTATGTATGTATGTATGTATGTATGTATGTATGTATGTATGTATGTATGTATGTATATGTATGTGTATGTATGTATGTATGTATGTATGTATGTATGTATGCATGTATGTATGTATGTATGCATGTATGTATGTATGCATGTATGTATGTGTATGTAAGTAAGTAAGTAAGTAAGTAAGTAAGTAAGTAAGTAAGTAAGTAAGTAAGTAAGTAATGTAATGCATGTAATGTATGTACGTATGTATGTATGTGTGCATGCATGCATGCATGCATGCATGCTTACATACATGTATGCATGTATGTATGTATGTAATGTATGTATGTATGTAATGTCATGTAATGTCATGTAATGTAATGTAATGTACTGTAATGTATGTATGTATGTATGTATGTATCCTTGCACTTCCCCTTTGCTCCCCAGTATTTCCCGCAAAAAAACACGGTTTTTCCAGCGTTTTCGCAAAGAGGACGTCCAAAAACATTGAGTTTTTCCAGATTTTCGGCAAAAGGATGCAGGAAGCCCAAGCCAGCAAAAAAGCCGGCAGGGGGAATCGAGCCTGGGACCCCTGTTTTGCGACACCGGCTCCCCGAAGACTACGTTTAGTGGAACGTCATCAAATTGCCGCGCGGTACGTGGGGGACCCCCCCCCCCCTCCCCCTAGGGGGGGGGTTAGGGGGGGGACCTCTAGTAAGTATCCGACACGCCGAGCAACGTCGGCGGATATATATATATATTAATATATATATATATAGAGATATATATATATGTAAGTACTCATATATATATATATATATGTATGATCCCTTTTCCTTCAGCACGGGCCCAGCCAAGTCTTTGTTGATCGAGGCCAAGAAGACGCATCGCAGGCGTGGTCTGCGCAGGGGGGGCCCGTGGGCGCGTTAGCATCACGCAGGTGGCTGGTCTGCTTCGTTGACAAAGTGTTTGCCACCAGATAGCGACTTGCGTGTGACTTGCTTGAGCCAAACCACCAACCAACTCTAGACATTGGCGGCGTTGGCGGCTCCCTTCCAACTTCCTCGGGTTGATGCGATATTCGTTTCACCAAAAAAGCAAATTGCAACTGGCAGCTAATGCTGCGTGATGCTCGCCAGCCACCAGAGTCCAAGTTAATTTCCTGCCCAGGATGACATTGGGCAACCTCTGTAGATTTTGGCTATTGTAAAGAAAAACTGAACTCACCTAGTTCCAAACTTATATGGGTGTGCCGTTTTGAGGCCCCAAAGTGTGGTTCTCCTTTTAGGGTTCCTTTCCAACCTCCTAGCTTTCGCAAAAAAAAAAAAACAGGCGCTTCTCCTCGATTTGTGGCCTTCAAGGAGAGAGCAGGGATACAGGCGGAACCAGGGATACGGGAGGAGTCCCTCTTTATGGGAAATGGCGCCAATGGAATCCGCGTAAATATCCCCACTTCCTCCGTATCCCCGCTTGTTTGTTTGTCCAAGAAGGTACTGTGGATGGAAGGAATCCTGCACCTTGAACCACTGTTTGTTGGTATTCATAGGTTGCGTCGAATCAGACACCGTTGGCTTTCTTAGTTCGGCGGCGATGGACGCCAGCCTCCCGAGCAGCTTCCAGTGAATCGCCCGCGATGGGTCGCGAAAAGCATGACACACCCCGTTCTGGCTGCCACTTGTCTTCAACTTGATGTTGCAGCCCGTTTCACAGGGACTTACAACCATGGTAGGTTATCCTCCATTTGCTGAAATGAATATGTTTTACTTTCCCCTGTTGGTTTCAAAGGGAATCGATCTCACTACTGGACATATTTTCTCATTTTTTCCAGGGGTCTTAACAAAAGGTAGGCTACAACCAGGGATACGCACCAATGCGCGATTTCCCAAGCGATCGTTCTGCAGGTCTTTCACCTTGCCGGGTGGCAGAGCTGGCGCCAGAAAGGAGACGGGAAGATGCGCGTGCGAGGGATGGACAAAGGGTTTTGTGGCCCTTTAAGTTGAATATGTTGAGGGCTTCTCAAAATTACTTTTTAGGGGCGGTGTCCCTTTCAACCTCCATGTCGAGGGTTAATTTGAGGATGTCACGTTCAAAGGTTCCAGTGGTTGCCCCTTTGCTTTTCGACTTGCTTGGTGGATCTTCTACCCAGTTCTTCGAGTTTCTGTTGGTTTCCCGGCTTTCTTCCCGCTTTTAGGGGATGGGTTTCGCTTGAACAACGTGTTCGACTTGTTGTGAGTTGTTTGACCCTTGGCGGTCAAACCCCATCGTTGGACGCTTCACGCATTTGTTTGTTGCCACAGTTCAATGGTGGCTGCGGCCAAACCTTCCATTTGCTGAAGAATAAAGGGAGTTTATCACTACTGGACATATTTTTCCATTTTTTCCAGGGGTCTTAACCAAATGGAAGCTTACAACCAGTTGTTAAGTACTTACATCGCTTGGGACTTAGCTAACCCAAGTTCCAGGAGACGTACAGCCATAGTAAGTGGCTTGAAGCTAGGGTTACTGGCCATTTAGCTATCTCCCAGACCGTCGAAGCCACCAGCCCAAGAACCCAACTCTATCGGCGGGCTCCCCTGACCAACCCAGCCAGCTGGATGTTCAAAGAGTCCTTTTGCTTGTTCTCCGTCTATTGCTTGAATGCTGTGCCGCCAATCAACTGCCAAGTAGTCTGGCAACGGCGAGTGGCGAGATGGAATCATTGATTTGCTGCGGAGTCTCAATCAAACAGCGTCCCTCTTTTTTCCCTATACCGTTTGCCGATCAGAATTAACCAGCCCCGTGTTCAAAATACCTGAACAAAGAAAACCATACCTTGCACAGCCTGCAAAGCAAGCGTCGAAGAACAGCACGGGATCCAGCAAGTGCAGAAAGGCTTGGGTTTAATCTGTTTCCCCAAGCATCATGAACAAGCAAACATGTTTCATCATCCCTAAATGAAAAGCACAAGGAGATAGATGTTTCACCTCTTCCAGTTACCTCTTAGCCCCGGTTTACTTAGCAAATTGCTGAATGGTTCGCTTTGCCATGGTTACCAATTTACCCGGGTTTTGGGTGCCCGACTGGTTGTACCAAGTGCGTAGCCGCTTGAAATGGTGTGTCTCAAAGGTTCGTGGACCGCCCCCGCAAGTTGTGATCTTCAACTTTTGGGCCCAACCTGAACCTCCCCCATCCTCCCCCCCCCCCCCAACACGGTTGTTGTTGCGAAACATTTTCCCCATGTTTGCTTATTGTGGTTTAGTGGTGGAAATCCAACCACTTAACTGCTAACATTTGAATTTTGCCCCCCTTTGAACGTCAACCAAGCCAACTTGTGACTTTATGTTTGGTGTCCACTTAAAGCAGCCCGAAGAAATAGGCGGCCTCGAAAGAAAAGCCGAAAAGGAAGCCACGCCTCCCAAAGAGCTCGGCGCCGCATTTTTCGGCCCTTTGGACGGGGTTCCAACGTCTCGAGGGGTTCCGCAGGGCCTGCGGAGGGCTGCCTGCGGAGCGCCCGGGTGAAGGCCGGGAGTCAGGTGGGTGCGAAAGGAAGCAGCCCCCATTGCCTGAAATGAGTGGCTTGGGGTGGGGAGTCCTCTACGAAAACCAGGGGTTCAAATCCGAATCCGCCAATCTGCCATTGCCGGAAATGAGTATGTTTGCTGCCCACCAAAACCAAAGGGAAGTAGCCTCTCTTTTTGTGTGTGTGTTTGCGAAAAGAACCAAGGGCTGGCGCCCACTTGCTGAAATGAGTAGTGGTTTTGTTGTCCCTGCTGGTTTTGAAGAGAAAGTAACACTGCGGGACCTATCTGCTCATTCTTCCAGGGGGCGAAAAAGCGCATCCAGGCCTGTGAAGATGTGGAAAACCTGGTTGTAAGGTCATGTTCAGCGATACCAGGAGAATCCCCCTTATGACAAAGTAGTCATTGCCAGCCAACGCTTTCAAAAAAAGACGCACCCAACCTCCAGGTCTTTAAAGCGTGGACAGAGGGTAACCAAGAGGAATCCTTTCTTCGCCAAGAAATCCAGAAGAAGCCACGGTCCCTTCAGGACATTCATCTTCCAGGTCCCTCTCCACAGCTTCCATGTTCGTTGGAGGAGGAGTTGGATGTAGAGGGGTGCGAAACCTAGACCAACCCTGGACCAACTCCTGAATCCCCATGCAGGTTGCGGATGCCATAAAGCAAGTCTCCCCAAAAAGCTTCTGCAGGAGCCTAGCCATTGAGAAGTATGTACCTGTTGATAGCACTAAAGTCTTGCTGGTCAGGGAGCGTGGGAATGAACCCGACTGTCTTGAAGGAAAGCACCAGGGATGGCTCATAGGGTTTGTTGATGTCCATGTTTCCTTGCTACTTTCCTCTTGGGAAAGGGCCCTATGCACTTCCGCGTTGGCAAGAGGGTAGCAATTATTTCACCCTTGTGCCACTCCCGGCAAATTCACGTGGAAGGTTAGGGGGGGGCCAAAACAGGGCCCTCTTTATCATGGCATTTGGGGCCCTGTTTGTTCATTTGCAGGGGTGTAAACATATCATACCTGGTCGAGTTACTATGATTTGGCTACATAAAGCAACCCCAATTGAATCTGCAAAAAGGAGACCCTAAGTTAATCCATCTAACAATGCTACCCCTAGGTCCCCCAGTAGTGCCCTTTCACCTCTCTCTTTTTGGAGTTCCCCTACTAAGAATAGACCACAGAAAAAAGAGTTGGTACCAACTTCTTCCAACCACTCAAATCCGGAGGATTTGGACCCCTTCTTTGCCGCAGCTTGGCTTCTTGTTTCAACTTTTCAGCAAGACAAACCGCGGTTTTCTGAACCGCCGACGCCGCGGTTCGCGCCTCAGGCGGAGGAGCTGCTGGCCTTCCCCGCCGAGAACGTGGACCGCGCCGCGAATCCGCGAATTCGGTTTCGCCGCGCCGGGCGCCGGGTGCGGCGCATGCGTGGTGGGGGTGTTTGGTGTTTTTGGGTACCCAAAAAAAAAGGGATACCAAAAGAATGCTCAAGGGATACCAAAAAAAAAGGGTTTTTGGTTGTGCGCTCAAGGGATACCAAAGCTCGACTTCTTCTGGCCAATCCAGTCAAGAAGTGAGCAGGACGTGGCTGCGGCTCAAAGCTGAAGAGCTGGCGTTACGCAGGTGTTGGTCTTTGTTTCCATTTACCAAGGGGCCATTGTGGAGAGTCCATTTTTCGAGCCACAGCCTGTTTTGTTGTTGTTTTTCTTGAGGATATTTTTGTGCGAACGCCCCCTAGTGAAGTGGATCTCGTCCATCCGGACTCGTTTCTATGGTTGTGGGGTGCTGTTGAGCCAATTACCTCATGAACATGGGGAGAATGATGGTTGCAAGTCTTTGGCCCCTTCCTTATGATCCAAATACCGGGGAGCCCCCCCCCACCCCCAGCGGAGCTGACTTCCATCTATTTGCTTAAGATTCCCTTTGCAACAATGGAGGTTGTCCATCGCCACCCAGTTACTCTTTTACCAGGAGGGGGGGAAGCATGTACCACAACTTCCATTTGCTGATTTGTTTTTCCCCTGTTGGTTTTGAAGGGAATCTATCACCACTGGAAATATTATCTATTTTTTGGAGGGGTCTCAACCAAATGAAAGCGCAAGGGTGGCACGGGGAGAGGTCCTTGCAGGAAAATTCGGGACACCTTCCGACGGACAAAAGTTCGGGCCCTGTCAGTCTCCTGTTGCGGAAGCTGAGAACTAACGAAGAGGCTCATTTTTTGCGGGGATACCTACCTGGGTGTCTGAAAACTCCCGTGAAGAGGGGGAGGGATGGTGAAAAAGAAGAAGCTACGTGCCTCGATCTTGGATCAGAACAAACCTTTCAACTTGTTGACTTTGGCTGTTTTCCCACCGGCTAACAAACTGATTGACCCGGGCGCATACTTGCAGCAAGAAGTTGGTTCTGCAGGTCTCCCTCCTGGAGTTTTCGCGCGGAACCCGCAAAAAATATATATTTGGGTGTGTCTTGGAATAATAGCGGACTCAAAAAATGGTGGCACTCTCTTTCTCTCTCTCTCTCTCTCTTTCTCTCTTTTTCTCTTTCTCTTTTTCTCTCTCTCTCTCTCTCTCTCTCTCTCTCTCTCTCTCTCTCTCTCTCTCTCTCTCTCTCTCTCTCTCTCTCTCTTTGGTTTCCGTTTGAAGCAAACGAAGGCAGCCCCAATTGTCCAAGAGCAGTGCGATGAACTCCTCTGGGCGGCCAAGTGAGGGCGAGAGGGTCGGTTCTTCTCCCCTCCCCACCCAGACCTCCAGAGGCGCCCATGTTCCTTCCTTCTGGACGGCGTGTCATCCTTAAATGCAAAAACTAGGTCCTCCAGTAGAGCCCTTCTCTCCTTTTTTTTGGGGGGGGTTCCCCTGCTAAAACAGACTACAGACAAAACTTGGTACCCTTATTCTAGCCTCTCTACTCGAGGACCTAGAAAAGGTGCTGGTTTTTTGCCCGTATCCACTGTGGGTTTGGGCTATGATCGAGAGTTGCGTTCATATCCAAACACCCCTAGTCTCGAGTAGTCGCAGGGAATTCGCCCAGATGAATGGGGCCTGAAAAGGAGGAGGATGAGAAGAAGTGTTCGTCAGAAGAAGGCGAGTGCTTGCAACTGACAACCCCCTTGCAACCAAACTTGACTTGAGCTTTTGGTTGCCCCTTTACAGAGGCCCACAAACAAACAGCCACCCGTACATGGTTGCTAGGCCTAAGCAGTCTGCGGGCTACAAGGGCTGCAACCATGACCCAACTCCAATGAGTACAGAACCCTCTGGGTGAATTTTTGGGGAACCTCTGCTTCCCATGGCAGTTGGGGAACCTCTGCTTCCTATCTTCCCATCTTCCCATGGCTGGTCTGGGTGATGTTTTTGGGGAGCCTCCGCTTCCCATGGACGAACCTTCCCACGGCTGCTTCCCATGGCTGCTTCCCATGTCTTCCCATGGCTTCCCCGAACCCTCTGCTTCCCATGGCGTCCCATGTCCCATGGCTGGCAGGAGAAGAACTGGAACTTAATCCAGGGCCAGCGAAATCGCCTCTTTCTGGAGTACTTCGTCGAGCCTCACGTGGTGCCCGGGGTCTCGGGGGCCGCCGGAGCGCTGGCGCGTTCGCCGCGCGCCCGCGGCTGGGGGCGAGGAGCGTGGCCCTGGTTAAAAAAAGGCAGTGACGAGGGTGGCTTGCTTTGAGTGACATTTTCCGGGTTCTGAGAGGGGAAAAAAAACATAAGTGCCCCAAGTCTATGGTCCAAATGGGCCATAGACTGCTTGTGATACCTCGAATGAACCTCGAATGACCAACATTTGTATACCCTGTTCGCGCACCTTCAAAGGGAATATTGGGAAGGACATCAGATGGTTTCCGCTGCCAAGCCGAAGGGACAATCATTCGCCTCAGGCCGACTCAGTGAACTGCCAGACTTCCCCAGCTTTCGGGCCTTGCTGGTGCTCCGTAGGGAATCAGAAATGGAATGCCCCCCTATAAAGCATCCAACTGGCGGTTTCCTTTAAGGGGACCAAAGCCTGGGTTCATTCCCTCATTCCCTACTTATCGCACCAGCAAGTGAAACTCTTTGTGAAGATCATTGTAGTGATTAATAGAAAGTCGAGCGACTTTTCGTGACTTCACCAAGGAAGTGAACTCATTTCGGGGATCTTCCTGTCACCGTCATTTGACGCCTTCGGTGGCGCCGCGGGCCATTCTTCTGGGGTCACAGGTCCCTTGATTCCGTGGTTGGCGAAGTTCCTCGAAGGGAGTTCCCCTTTTCATGGTTGTTGTTGGGAAACATTTTACATGTTTGTTTATTGTGGTTTAGCGGGAAATCCCCACTTAACTGCTAAAATTTAATTTTTTGCTCCCCTTCCAACGTCATTGATTGGTGAGTTACTCACTCAGTAAGCCCCACAAAACGCTCCCTTTGTGTACCGGGGGCACTGGACAAGTAGGAAACCATTGACACAACACTAGTTTGGAAGTCAAAAGCTGGTTTGTATCTTGCACAGTCCTGCGCAAAAAGATATTGCCCATCCTTTTGGATATTCGATTTGCGCAGAAGTGCCAAGTGCAAGAAGACATCCCCCCAGCAGGGTCTTGACGAGTCAGCTCAGGAACCAAAAACACAGCAAGCGCGAGCAGCGCCGAAAACAGTTACGAGGCCCCACTTTCAGGTCAAGACCAACCACACCGGGGCAAGGAGTCCAAGTCCCCGGTCCACTAGGTCCCCCAGCTAGGTGCCTTTCTCTCACTCACTCAACCTTTTTTTTGGGGGAGTTCCCCTACTAAAATAGACTACAGAAAAAAAAGGTACCAACTTATTAAAACCTCTCTACTGGAGGACCTAGTCCAACCTCTGCAAGGGTCACTCAGTTCTCTTTGGCTTCGAGGCCGATTCTTCGTCTTTGCAGCCCTGTGTTTTGAGGAGACCAACGCTGAACGGGGCCCCAAACTTTCAGAGGCGAGCCCCAGCACGTAGCGCCATTCCTTTGTCCATATATGGCGATGTGACCCCCCCTTGTGCCATGCAGCCAAGAGCCCAAAAAATGCAATACCCTAAAAGAAGGCACGGCCCTAAGTGTCCACCATACTGTGGATGGACGAAATCCTGCAGCACCTAAGAAACCGTGGGAATGATTCGATTTCCCCAACGTAAATACCAACAAACCATGGTTTTGGCATTGTTTCTCGGGTGGTGCGAAATGGATTTTGTCCACAGCAGAGGGCCTCCCAAAACACCAAAACACGCTGGCCCAGCTTCTTCTCAGTTCCGCAGGCTCCAGGCGCACCTGCAGCGCGGAGACGGAGGCAGACGAGTCGCTTGGGACCTCTGTTCGGCCCAGCTAGGTGCACTTTTTTCACCCCTTTTTTGGGTGGGAGGGTTGCCCTTTACTAAAATAGAGAAGTTGGTACCCTTATTCTAACCTCTCTACTGGAGGACCTAGCCTTTTTAATTTTCTGGTGCTTGTCGACCAGCAAAAGGTTGGTTCGTTTGTAGCTGGCTACGTAGCGGACCATTGCCACGCAGGAAGAAAAAGGGTAACTTGTTTTATGGGGGGGTCCAAGTCTAGTCAAGTTTAGGTAGACTGAACAAGAAAGCGGAATCCGAATATTTTTTGGGGCACCGCGAAATTATGTTTTGAGGGGTGGTGTTCTTTCAAACATTGTCCGTTCGGTGGACCCAGTAGTTTGGGTCGCACCAGGTCATACCAGAGAGCAACTAAGTCATAATATGTGCCCAATGAGCGCCATATTGTCCTGCTTTATTTGGCAACACTGGCAAGACACCGGGAAAGCACCCAAAAAATGGGATTCCCGCGCTGAAACACGAGTGGGCACCGCACCATTCCAACCAAGAACCCCTGACATGTGTGGCAGGCTAAACGGACCTCAGTTGAGACTGTGCATGAGCGTAATCCCGCAACTTCCGCGGACGCAACCCTCACGAAAAACAGGACGAACCATCATCAACTGTTGCATCTCCACTTGCTCACTGGCCGGAGGATTTCGTCCAATAAACATCCCTTGGCTCTTGATCCCACTTGGCTCGCCACGCGCGGCAGTGCGGCAGGCATAGCTCTGGCCGGCCTCGAGCAAAGTTTCGTGTCCCGCTGGCCCTACGAGGCTCGTGTGTGGCTCTTGCGTGGCCTTTTGTGGGGCATCCGTGCCTGGGATGCACGGGGAAAATGGGACTTAGAAACGTGTCCGTAGGTGTCCTTTTTAGTTGTTTTGGTCAAAAAATAGATGGCCCTGGTTTACCTGGTGGTTTAATCATCTACCAGGGCCATCTACTTCCCCAAAAGGACACCTATGAATGTGTCGCTTTCTGCCTTCTGCGAGACTAGAAAACATCCCCAGAGGGGCGGCCCAGGTTACCACAGAAGGGGGTTGTTTCCCGATGTTGCAGAGTCTTTTTGCCAAGGGCATAGTTCTTGAGTTTTGGGACCCTTTTGGTGGGGCGGATGGGTTCAAAGGAAGCTAGAGAGATTCCAACCATGTTGAGGGCTTCCCTATTTTCTGGGCCTGCGGCCTCTAGCCGGCTACGCCTCTTTGAAGTTATACCATGTCATCTTATTTTTGTTGTATGAGAAACGTATCCTGCCCACCCCAACCCCAGATGATGCCGGGCAGCTTTCTGGGCCCCAGCCGGGCCCAAACCCAGAAGGCTGACATGGGGTCGCGCGCGCGCGCGCCAGAGGCCCCAGAAACAGCAGCCCAAAAAGAACAGCCCGCAAGCCAGCCCGGAAACGCAAACGCAACAAAACACGGCTGGGGTCGCGCGCGCGCGCGCCAGAAGGCCCGAAAACCAACGGGAAACAAGCAAGGACCGCGCAGCGCGCGAGCCAGCCATAGCAAAAGCAAAACGGACAGAACAACAGCCCAACGCTCAGCGCAGCAGTTTTTGGCGGTATTTACAGCATTTTGCAGAGCGAGGACCCAGCATCGCCGGCATGCCCGGCAGCGTTCCCTCCGATACCTTCTAAAAACCAGTGCTTCATGGGTCGACAGGCGTTTTGGAAGGAAGTCTTGATGATGCAGACCAAGCCCCGCTGCAGCATCACCCAGGCCCAGCCCCAGACCCTGCAATGTCAGCCACATGGCCTAAACCCTGCATATACGCGATGTTTTGCGAGGGTTTCCCACAGGCAGGCAAAACCGCAAGCCCGAGCTGGTGATGCAGAGGTGCCGGATTTAGGCAGCGCATCACGACCAAGTGGCGAGGGTCGGCGGCACCAGGGTGCAGCCCCTATAGCTAAAGCTAGCAGGCTAATTGCCTAGCGGCGACATGCTACCCCAGGAGGCGTAGCCGAATTTAGCAGGCTGACGCCTGATGCCGCCGACCCCGTATCATCATCATCGTTAGCATCAGCATCATTATCATCATCATCATCATCATCATCATCATCATCATCATCACTCTCATCATCATCCTCAGCATCAGCATCAGCATCCTCATCATCCATCATCAGAACAACATCACCATCGGCATCAGCATCCTCAGCATCATCATCATCATCATCATCATCCACCATCTCATTTTCATTAATTAGCATCAGCATCATCATCCTCATCATAATCATCGTCAGCGGCGTCAGCAGTATCCTCAGCATCCATCATGACAATGATCATCGGCATCATCATCATCGGCAGCAGCGCGATCATCAGTATCATCATCATCATCACCATCATCATCATTCATCATCACTGTCATCACCATTCTTCATGAGCAGCCTCAGCATCAAGCATCATCATTATCGTCTTCGGCATCATTACGGTCAGGGGTTAAGGTCAGGGGTAGAGGTTAGAGGTTAGGGTTAAAGGTCAGGGTTCGAGTTTAGGGTTCGAGTAGAGGTTAGGGTTAGAGTATGATGACGACGCTGATGAGGATGATGATGATGATGATGATGATGATGACTTGACGATGATGACTATGCTGATGAATGATGCTGATGATGAGGATAATGATGATGATGATGCTGATGATGATGATGGATGAGGATGATGGTGATGATGATGATGATGGATGATGAGGGTGATGCTGATGACGAGGAGGCTGATGATATGGATGATGGCAGGTTCTGCATCCTGCGCAGACGTAACATTGCCCCAAACACTTGCAGGACGATGCTGGCGAAGCTGGGGATCCTTTTTTCGAATATCAAAAAGGCAGCTCCCGCATCCCCAGCATGCAAAGCATCACCCCAGACACCTGCAGCATGACGCCGGCGAAGCTGGGGATGCGAAAGCTGCCTTGTTTCTACAACTTTCCCAGACCAAAAAAGGCAGCTCCTGCATCCCCAACATGCAAAGCATCACCCCGGGGTGAAGCGGGGGATGCAAAAGCTGCATTTTTTTGATGCCGGGGATAATGAGGCTGCTGATGATGGCGATGACGATGATGATGCTGAAGAATGATGCTGAGGATGATGCCGGTGATGATGATGATGATGCTGGATGACGAGGATGATGATGGCGCCGCTGATGATAATGATGAAGAGGATGATGACGATGATGCTGCTGATGCTGATGAATGAGGATGATGCATAACCATCATCGTCATCATCCACCACGTCGTCATCATCATCCATCATCATCTATCTATCTATGTATCTATCTATCTATCCATCTATCTATCCGTCTATCTCTCTATCTATCTATCTATCTATCTATCTACCTATCTCGTTCATCTAAATTTCCATCTATCTATCTATCTCTCTCTCTCTCTCTATCTCTCTATCTCTCTATCTATCTATCTATCTATGTATCTTTCGATCAATCTACCTATCTATCTCTCTATCTATCTATCTATGTATCTATCTATCTATCTATCTATTTTTCTATCTATCTCTATTTTCTCTATCTTTCATCTATCTATCTATCTATCCGTTTATCTATCTTTCTTTCTTTCTTGCTACCTATCTCTTTTATCTCTCTTTCTATCTATCTATCTCCCTCTCTCTCTCTATCTATCTATCTATCTATCTATCTGTCTGTCTCTCTTTCTATCTATCTAGCTATCTATCTCTCTGTTTTCTCTATCCTTCTCTATCTATCTAACCCGTCTATCTATCTATGCATCTATCTATTTCTCTTTGTTTGTCTATCTAGTCTATCTATTTATTTATTTATCTATCGATCTGTACCTAAACAAGCGAAAGTGCTGCGCCTGCTACGAAATCTGGACTTGACCTTGTGAAGTGCTGCGCCTGCCACGAATTTGGCGTTTGACCTTGCGAAAGTGCTGCGCCTGCCACGAAATCTGTACTTGACCTTGTGAAAGTGCTGCGCCTGCCACGAATTTGGCACTTGACCTTGCGAAAGTGCTGCGCCTGCCACGAAATCTGTACTTGACCTTGCTGCGCCTGCCACGAATTTGGCACTTGACCTTGCGAAAGTGCTGCGCCTGCCACGAAAACTACACTTGACCTTGCGAAAGTGCTGCGCCTGCCTTGAAATCTGCACCTGACCTTTTGAAAGTGCTGCGCCTGCCACGCAATTCAAACCTTGAGAAAAGTTGATCTTGCGAAAGTGCTGCCGGCGCCGAGCCCGCGCCGAGCCCGCTCCGAGACCGCTCCGAGCCCGCTCCGACCAGACGCCGCGGACAGGCTAGCTTTCGCGTCTCCGGAGACGCCAATTCACGCACAGCGCCACGCTTTTTGCGACTTTCTCATCTCCGAAAAACGCCGATTCACTCACAGGGCCATGTTTTTTGCGACTTTCTCTTCCCCTGCCACACGCGCGCGCATTTTTATTCCTTCTCTTGTCATTTGTCTGAGAGAGCTAGCTTTCAATTAGTTGCCGTAACACGGAAGTTCCTTCTAAACTTCCTTTGATCATTCAGCATCATTATCATCGCCATCATGATCACCATCATCATCACCGTCATCATCATCATCATCATCATCATCATCATCATCATCATCATCATCCATCATCCATCATCACCAACGCCATTATCATCATTTTTCATCATCATCATCATCATTCATCATCCTGAGCATCATCATCAGTATCATCATAGTCATCATTCTCATCATCATCATTCATCATCACTGTCATCACCATCAGCAGCATCATCAGCACCATCATCATCATCATCATCATTATCATCATCATCATCCATCATCATCATCACTATCATCATCATTCATCATCAGTAGCACATTAACACCATCCCAAAGAGGCCCAGCTTGTTCAGCGCGCCACTGCTGTCAACCGGCGAGTTTTCTGGGTGCATGTTGCCAAGGATATAAGGCTTCTGACAACCCAGCCAACTTCGACTGTGGCAAGTGGAAGCTGTGCTTTTGTTGAGGCTGAGTCTGAAGATGAAGACATTTTCGGACATATGGCGCAGCCTCTGTGAAGAGGAGGGATGGAGCGAAAAGTGCGTCGACCTTTTTGTTTGTTATCAAGATTGCTCCCAAAACCTTAAGCCACAGTTTTGAGAGCTGAGATGGGTTGTGACTGAGTTTTTCTAGTCCATTGTTTTCTGGAGCGGCGTGAGCCACTCCAACCTTGTAGAGCCGCCTGTTTTATGCTGTCTGAAGGGTATCCTCACGGAAGATGGTGCGACTCTGTTTTCTTCGACCAGTAGAGGTTTTCATGATTTTGCCGTTGTTTGCATCGCTCATGAGCGCTCGTTTGCAGGTGTGTGCGTAGGTGTGTAATTTTCCACGGCGTGTGTAGGGCAGGCCACGAGCATGTCTGTGTAGCGCTAGCGCCCGCTCACGAAAAACCGTTGGTCCAGTTCGGAATCAATTCGTTTGGCTTGGGAGGCGGCCTTCATTCTGAGGGTGTGAGCCTCAGACGCACGAAGCCAACCAAGAATCGGTTTTGTTCAAAACTAAAGTTTGGCATGATTTGCGTGGCAGACATAGGTGAACACACGACTGTGAGCCCCCACGTTTTGTGAGTCGATTTCCTGACTCTTGTTTGTTGTCAGACAGACAGGAGCTATAGTTATTGGCTCAAGAGGTTGTTTGGCTTTTCCTGAGATTGCGCTTTGTGTCCGTGCCAGTTTGTTTGGCCGGAAGGGCAACCGTAAAGTTGGCAATTTGCTGTTCAATGATCTTGCAGCGAAGCAGGCCGGACAGCGCCAACGTGTCTTCATTGAAAGGCGGATTGCCAACTTTATGGTTTGGCTTTGCCTGCGTCAACTGTGTGTGCGTGCAACGTGCTGTGATCCATGCGCAGTGGCGCCAGGTCAGGCCAAAGTCGCCGAATAGCATCCCAAGGTTTTGGCCGGATGTTATAATTGTCTGTTCTGATCCGCAAGTGAAGCTTTGGGTGGGTGAATCTCATTGCAAGTGTGGGTTTTGCGGGAGAGGCAGATTGCAAATTTTATGGCTGGGCTGCAAGAATTGGTTTTCGACTTTTCATTGATCATCATTATCATCGCCATCATTATCATCACCATCATCATCACCGGCATCATCATCATCATCATAATCATCATCACCATCATGATCATCATCATCATCCATCATCACCAACACCAGTATCATCATCTTTCATCATCATCACCATTCACCATCCTGAGCATCATCATCAGTATCATCATACTCACCATTCTCATCATCATGATTCATCATCACTATCATCACCATCAGCATCACCATCAGCATCATCATCAGCATGATCCACATCATCTCTCATCATCATCATTCATCATCATCTATCACCATCATCATTATCATCATCATTCATCATCATTCATCATCATTCATCATCATTCATCATCAACCATTATCAACCATTATCATCATCATCATTATCATCCATCATTGTCACCAGCATCATCATCGTCATCATCCTGAGCATCATCAGAATCATCATCATTAACATCCTGATCATTCGTCAACACAATCATCGCCATCGTCATCGTCACCACCGTCATCATCATCATCAGCATCATCATCATCATCCAGCATCATCGGCATCATCATCCTCCTCCATCGTCATCATCACCATCATCATCGTT